TGATTGGTTGTCTGTAGATTGTAGGCGGGACTAACCGAGAGCGCGGGCCATAGATCAGGTTGAATGACAGATCTGAAGCAGATCTGAATCAGAACTGAAGCAAGCGCTGTTTCTCACAGACATGACATCTGTCCAACACGAGTGTTTTTAAAATGGAAAGGAACAAAATCAAGGGCTGAGCAGAAAAGATTAGAATTCAAAAAAGGAAAGCTCTTGAAGCTGAAGCAGCCAAATGTGCAAAGTTGGTAGTTTTTTTCTATAAAAAGTGCTCCGCCCATGAAGAGGCATCAGACCGCGGTAAGCTAGCAAAAAAAACATGCAAAACACTGTGGCAAAACATGACGACGTGATTCCCTAAATGATTAGCACTCCATTACATTTATTGCTTCTTGGGTCCTCAGATACAACAATCGTTCATTCATATTAATGAAGAGCCTCAGGAATGGGCAGGTAAAAACCAAAAAGAAGATTGTATTTTTAATCAAATTTGACTAAGCCACTAAGGCCATGAATTTATTTATTTCATAATGTATAATGTATATTGCATAAATTACATTTTTAACTTCTTTGTACATTAGGAAAGTAACAGTTGAATATTGTGTGTGTTTGTCAAAAGATGTGAAGCATTTATGCTCATATGACAAAGACATCCTTTGTCATTGGATAATGACAATTATCATAAACAAAGTTGCATAAACAAGTCACTTCTACAGAGTTTACTCATGTTTTAATGTGCTTCATTTTGCTATTGTTTATTTGGGTTTGATTGATTTAAATAGTGTGCAGTTTGTGGTTTCTCGTCTTGATAGAGGTTAACATTTAGTTTGCTTTTAGTTCTCCCCTGGGACAACATTAAAGTACGTTAAGATTAATTTTGGTTTTGTATCAAGTCGTAGCAAGTATTGTTTATATCTATTTAGGTCTTAGTGTAGTATTCGCATTAGTCTTCGTTTTTGTTAAGTCTTGATAGGAAGATAATTGTTTAAAAGTTTCGATTCAATGCAAATAAATGCAGCCAAATCTTTGGGAATAACAATTATTTGAAGGAAAATTGACATTGGTCTAAAATTTGGTACAATTCATATTGTGATACCAGAATATTCAAATATTCAAATGCATTATTGAGTTATTTTGTGACTAACACTGAGAAGTCTAAAGCGGTGAACGCAGAATAATTTGAATAGTACTAGTCTAGAAATGTATAAAACTTGATTTTAGGCCACCTGCTGGTTGTTATGGATATTACAACAGCAGCAGTTCAGGTTTTTTGATAGACTACTTTATCAGAAGGGCCGGTCTGACCCAGAATTCCCGGGCCAAAAAATTGTCCCACTCCGGCCCTGAACAACAGAGTCAAGTTTAGTGCAAATCAGAGTTTGTAAATGTGCTCCTGTTTGTACATACAATCTGTGAGTGTGTCCATACAGTCTCTGTTGGATAACATGGGAACGTCACACCTGTCTATGAAAATAACCACACTTTGGGAGTCTGTCACGATCAGACCGTTTGACTAATTAAAATTCTATATGCAACTATTGATGTTCCATGTGTTGAGACGATGTGGAGCGATTTTCAGACAAATTAGTGAAACGGCCGCGGGTGGTTTGATTTTCGAGCGAGGTGTACATTTCAGAGATTTAACGATTTCGCCATAGACACAGACAGGGGAGTATTGGTCGTCGCCACGGCAACAGGGTAAAAAATAACAATATGTTGTCATTGACTTTTTGAATCCAGATGACAAAACAGAATTATGAGCAAAATTTCAAACATTTTGAAAAAACTAAATTTCAAAAAGCCCATGTAAAACTTTAACGTTGTCTGTAGGGGGCGCTAACGAGCCAATTTCAATATTTCAACTTTCAAATGACCTAGACCCTGGAGCTGAACAATGGATTAAAATTTGGTGCAAATCAGACTTTTTTTGTGTAAACGGGATCAAATTTAATTTTGTCAAAAATTTAAAAAAATAATTCACATTTTGCCGCTCCGCTGCTCGGACAACGTTTAACTGATCCAAATTCTATATTCAATAATTGATGGTACATGTGTTTAGACCATGTGGAGCGATTTTGAGACAAATTGATGAAACGGCCGAGGAGGAGATAATTTCCAACCGACATGTGTGAAAAATATCAATTTTCATTTTTCCATTTTCCATTGAAATTAATGAGCTCCCTGTTTGTCAGGGGGCGGAGCCATAATAACTTTTTTTTTCATGTCTTGACTTGAGGAACATGTGTACAGAATTTCGTGGCTCTACGACAAACTTGACCTCCGACCCGCTCCCATAGGCGCAATGTAAATTGACTTTTGTAGGGGGCGCTGTTCGGGCATTTTTTTTGTCCCATAAAAATAAACACCCAAAAAATAAATTTTTCGCCAGTTCTGAATTTTGGGCAAAATTTCACAACTTTTCATCAATGTTCCGGGGGTTCAAATTAAGGTTCAAAGCGCAGAAGAAAAAAGAAAGAAAGAAAGAAAGAAACCAAACCAAGGAATTTTTTTTGCAAATCTTCGAGCAAAAACAATATAGGTTTCCATAGTAACCTATAATACAAATGATACGTCGTTTTAAAGCGAACGACGAGGCGAACGCAACTATTGGGTGACACGCTCGTCAATCACCTCGCCATCATGAGGTCACCCACCCCCCCCCCCATAGGACCCCATTGATTTCACTGTGTACTACAGAGCAGGAGCAAAGCCATTCAGTGCCTCCGGCACTGTTTTATCAGTGTGTGGGCACGCGCCGTCGGGCTTGGGGGACGAATGTCCGGGCTTCGGTCCGTAAGACAGTTGAAAGAACCCCCCTTTAATAGGACCTCAATCATTTCACTGTGTACTACAGCAGGAGCAAAGCCATTCCGTTTTATCAGTGCTTGGGCACGTGCCGTCGCGTGCAGGTCACAATCTCCGGGCGCAGACTTATGACAGTTACAGACAGTTATTGCTTTTACCGTTGGAAAAGCAATAGGCCCTTACGCCGGTTGGGGCTCGGCCCTAAAAAACAAAAATTATTATTCTAATAAGCTAACAATAGTAATAATAGGCAACAGCCCTTCAGGTCACAGCAGCAGAGATGGTGTAGCCTCTTAGTGGAGCAGGGCGGGCGAAAACAGAAGATGCGGAGAAGCCTCTGAGTGGAGCAGGACGGGTCACAACAGCAGAGATGGAGTAGCTTCTGGGTGGAGCAGTACTCGTCACAGTAGCAGAGATGGAGTAGCTTCTGGGTGGAGCAGTACTCGTCACAGCAGCAGAGATGGAGTAGCTTCTGGGTGGAGCAGTACTCGTCACAGTAGCAGAGATGGAGTAGCTTCTGGGTGGAGCAGTACTCGTCACAGTAGCAGAGATGGAGTAGCTTCTGGGTGGAGCAGTACTCGTCACAGTAGCAGAGATGGAGTAGCTTCTGGGTGGAGTGGGACAGGTTACAAGGTGAAGTAGCCGCTTGGTTCGTACCATTCTCTCTGCTTTATTTATTGTTTATTTGGTTGGGACAGTACATGTTAATGAACACATCACTCCGAATTGTAGCCATGGGCTGTTGTCCAAAGTAAAATGCTTCATTAGCATTTTCCAAAAAGTTAGCATTCCTCCAGTGGATTTTCACCTGATCCGCTCGGTTCGGACCAGTGCAAAACCATGAACACTGAACTGCAGCAACATCTCAGGTAGAAAAAAAGCAATAAAAATAAAAATTGTAAAGCACAAAACAGCTGTTTCAGAGCTACTTAGCACTTGCAGCCGTTTTCCAGCGCATTCAAAAGTAAAATACAAAAGTTATATTACAATTACTATTATTTTACATATTCAAACAAACTTTCCAATTATTACACATATTAAAACAATGCATACATTGTTCCCTCAATCTCAACTGTAGCTAAACGATGTTGTTCTTTCTTTTATACCATATTAATGCTTTTTCCTGTTTTGACCATTGACTAGACCGTAGCTGTTTGTTTGTAATGTCTCTCCATCTGATGTTGCACGAGCCACTTAACCTCTGGTTGAGACAGGAAGTGTCAAAATAAAACATTTTTCTGTTAATATTAATAAATCAACCTTTACAGTGGGTCTAAGAAAAAAGGACTGAGGTGATGATCCTTGACATCTAACATTTATGGACATTTATCAACATTCATGGACTTATTATAGGACAAAAAAACACATGTTGCTGGTTTGACATTTACGCTCCAAACTAGTCATCATTACTCAGGGCATTTTGAGGAACCAATTGCAACAACAAGAGTTTTAACAAAGGTCTTCAACTTTTTTTTTTTTTTTTCTGATTGATTAGAGGCTTTGAAATTGTTTCCAAAATGTTGTTCATGAACTTTGGTTGAACATTTATTCTGCCTCCCTACTCACCATGTGGGGAGTAGAACCTTCAGCCGCACTGTTCTGGAACACTCTCCCCCCTGGTCTCCGTAACACCGACTCAAACTCTTCAAATCCACTCTCAAAACTCATCTGTCCAGAGCCTGTGAGTGCGAATGTGGGACAACGGATGTAAATTAGCCCATGGCTACAATCCGGAGTGATGTGTTCATTAACATCTATGGCCCAACCAAATAAACAAATAAATAAACATCATAACCACACAATCCTATCATCATGATGCTTTAACTTTTTATTTGAACTGTTTTAAAAAGCACCTTTTTACTTATTTTAAAGGCGCCTAAGGAAAAAAAGTCTTATTATTACTCTTACTATATAAGGTATGTATTGTTTGGGGGTGGCCTATTCACCTTTAAATACTTCTAATTGTGGTCATGTTAAAATTGGTCTTTCCATCAAAACTAAACTTAGCTTTTTACATCTTCTGCCTGAATATAATGTAAGCTCAAAATGTATAACACAAATACAAACTTAGTGATTTTAACTGATACCCATGTAATAGCTATTTGACATTAAGCTCTGAAAAAGTCATCTTTAAAGAAGTGCATGGTAGTGTTAAACAATCTTTGCTCTATATATTTTTTAAATATCTGTTTTCACAGATTTGGTTCTGGCTGAGAAGACGGTGCCAAAAATGTCAACATACGAAGTGACCGTTTTTACTGGAAACAGGAATTGGGCCGGTACTAGCAACAACATATACATCAAACTTATTGGTCGCACTGGGGAAAGTGATCGTACATGTATTACGCCGCTCCTAACGACAGGCTTCTGGAGTGGACAACAAGTTAGTATTATACTGTAGCGGCAAATATCATTTTAAACATTAAACATCCAAATGTGTATTTTCTTCAGACAAATGTCCGTCTAAGTTGTTCTGAGTCTCTGGGAGATCTGATAATGGTGGAACTGGACAAGCAGTCAGTGATACAAAATGACTCCTGGTTTGTGGACAAAGTTGAAGTGCAATCTCCAGAAGGAAAAGTCTTCAAGTTCCCCATGTACCACTGGATCCAGAATGAAAAGGTTCATTCTTTCATGGAGGGAACAGGTTTGTGCCATGGGATTGCTTCAGAGCGTATTTTCCAACTGTGGGAGAAATAAAGGTTCTCTTGATAATGTTTCATCCAATTGAGTGTTTTCTGATCTCAATAGCTCAGATCTTGTCACAAGACCAACATCACCTCACCCTCGCTGCTAGGAAGAGGGAGTTGCAGCTCAGGAAATATGAATACTGGTAAGTTTTGTATGTCAAGTTTATAAAGTTTATAAAGTTATTTCTGTGTATGTGCCTATTTCAGTTGGACGGTTTACTCCGAGGGCCTTCCTCACTGCATCAAAGCTGAGAGTGCGTCTGATTTGCCTCCTGAAGTTCAGTTCTCCTTCACGAAGGACATGGAAATCAAATGGAATGTAACAGTAGTGTAAGTCATTATTTTATAAAAATAGAAAACCTAGACGCCTCTGGGCCTCCAGGTCTGCATCAGTGCTTTTCTGGATACAGGATTTCTTAGAAGATTGAAGATCTAGATAGAATTACAAAAATATCTTTTATTTAATTAACCAGGTTTTACTTTATCTTTTTGAATTATAATGTCTTAAAGAAAAGGATGCCCAGCCCACATGGGCTTTTAAGACACCATTAAAACAAATACATAGACAAATAACATTTCATCTTGATGTCGTCCCTGCACCAGAACAGATCAGGATCCGAGAGAACATTTCATGTTTCTAACAAGTTTCTAAAATCAACAGTATTAAAAGGCACTTCACTTTCCACTTCATTCAGTTCACACAGGACACAGTCTCTTCTACTCATTAATATTGTGATTTTCTGTGTTTTCTAGTCATTAGTATTGAACATTGTGTATGTTGTATTATATTTTTTTCATCTCTACTGTCTGTCAATTTCTAGGGACAAGTGCTGCAAATTAGCTTTGGCTATAAGCGCCATGATGCATACAGTACAGCCGACTACTGTATGACAGTTTGTCTATGTTTGCTGTAGCTGTCTCTTCTCAATCATACCAAATAACAATAATTAGCGATCTGCGAAAACTTCTCAGTGTCTAAAGCCAGTTGAAGGATTCCAGTACGTAACTGTTTGATCTAAGATCTTTGATTCCCGGACAGATTCGCTGTGACATAAAACTCTGTTTTGAAACGGCTCTTCAAAATAGGCCATTCATTTTGCTCTTTTGATTTTGATTTTAAAGGAGCAATATGTAAAAATCTGGCCAAAAGTGGTACTGCAGTCACAGTCAATATTTTGTAGTCCTCTCCCACTCTCCCTGACTCAGGTTGCCAGATTCACACCAAATCCAGCAGCAAACACAGGGAATTATTTTATCAGTTGTTTGTCCGTCTCCATTCACATTGCCATGACAGCCGTGCTAATGCTGAATGAATGTTTTGATTAATGTTTTTTTATTATTATTATTTGGACATTTGAGATAAAAAACAAAAACAAAATAAAAGCAATGTAATTATACATAGTTTATGCAAAATAAATAAGCAATTGATGTCCAAAATAGGAGTGGGAAGAATGGATGTTGGAACGTATTTCTTCAGCGTATCAACATCAGGGTTTGCTCAAGAGGATATCACCTTTCAATTTTATTGATTCCCTATTTTTTAGACAAACATGTAAAAGTCCCACATCAAAAAGAGACTAACATTATTTTAATTGGGGTACATGTGGTCTTAAAGATTATTTTTACAATTAAGCTATAATCTGCAAAAAAAATGTCTTGACCTTCATCTTTTACCGTTTTTAGAGTAATATGTCATAGAATGTGATAACATGCAATAAATACAAAAAGACATAGCCCGGGATCGAACCCGGGTTCCTGCATCGTAAGCGTACAGTTTAGACCACTAGACCACCGATTCACACGAATAGAGATATTGTGAAGAACGCACTCAAACTAGAAAATTTTGATCAGCTGTCTCAATTGTTCAAAGGCATCCCGATATAAATCCTCGTTTTAGTCTTTGTTTTGTCATTAATGATTTGAGAGTCATAACAAGACCTTTTTTAGTTCTGCGCCACATGTTATTTTACCACTGAGATTAATGAGCCGCGCGGAGTTCTGGCAACCGGATCACGGACTTACATGACACTTCCTGATTGGCGAAACGGCGGAGGGTAGGACATCAAAATCAAAACAATAACAACTTTTACGGGTCGTAAAACTAATTTTGATAATCAAATATCTCGGCTGAACTACTGTTATCAGTTAAAGATGTATTCGAAAAGAGTATGATTGACCATCTCAGGTTTTAAGGCAGCCCTGGTGCATGTCACAATATTACCACCAGTACTAAAAATTCGTTCAGAGGGGCTGCTGGTGGCTGGAATGCACAAGTATTTTTTGGCAAGCTGCGACATTCTGGGAAACTTGCGCTCATGTACCTTCCACCACTGAAGGGGGTCAGACTCACTGTCTGCATCCAGGCATTTTGAGTAGCTTTTCATCTCCGTTTCTACTTTTTGCCTTTCAGTGAGAGGTACGGCATCTAGTTCATCATCTTGACTTGGTATTTTGAAGAAACTGCCCAATGATTTTCGCTGTTTCTTCACACCCAGTGGGAGAGATGTGGCATCTTCTCCTTCTGCCCCCTGGCCTCCTGTTCCCTCTGGAATCTCAGCTTTTGATTGGCTGGGGTCTTCGTCCATCATTTCACACAGTACTCGTTCTTTAATGGCCTCTACTTTTTCTGGGCTGATGTACCGTGTCTTAAATCTAGGATCCACAAAGGCAGCCATGTTGAGGAGATCCTCCGTTTCTGAGCCAGCATATTTTTCATCCAGATACGACATGATGGTCTTAAGGTCTTTCGTTAGTTGAGTGTCTTGGTCTTTTCCCTTCAGCAAATCTGTGCGGAACAGGTGGAGCACTGGCTTTACATAGGAGACCGTCACGTATAATTCCCCAGAGAGGGAGTCAGTGAACTCCAGAACTCCCTCTTTTTCTTCCACGAGCAGGAGAAGGCAGAGACCACCTTCTTACAAACTCCAATAGCCCTTTCCACTCTTTTGTCCTTCCCTGCGACACCTGCAGAAATACAAAAGTAAATAATAAAATACAATATAAAAATAATATATATAACTGGTGCAAATATTCTAATGTATAATATTATTATATTATATAAAAACTATAACAAATATAATCATAAATAGGAAAAATAATAACAAAACACCTTTTATTATGTTCTATTAGCTAATTAAATCAACATAATCATCCGAGAATTCTACTCACCAATTGCTGAGTGCAAACGATGGCCAAAGCACTGCAGCCGTGTCCAATTATTTAGTGAAGTTGCCTTCACTATATTTGCCCTGCTGTCTGTGGTGATGCAAACCATTTTTTCCTCAGCCAGATTCCAGGACGACAGTGCCTCCTTCAAGCCCTCTGCTATTATCTCCCCTGTGTGGTCTTCGGGGAAATATGCAGTTTCTAGGCATCTTGTTTTCAGAACCCAGTCATTATCGATGAAATGAATTGTCAAGCTGAGATATGGCTCGCATGTACGGCTTGACCACATGTCGAAGGTTGTCGCGAAGTGCTTTACTGACCTTATCTCCCTTTCCACGGAATCCTTGCACATTGTGTAAAGCTTAGGAATAGCGGTCTTGGAAAAGTATTTTCGGCCAGGTAGAATGTAACGGGGGTCGAGCACGTGAATAAGATTCTTGTATCCAGACTTCTCAACTATGCTAAGCGGTAGCATGTCCTTCGCTAATTGATACACAACTGCATCGGTTATTTCTTTATAACGCTTCGAGGTTTTCTCGTACGGCACTGCTGCAGAGTATCTCTCAATACTTGTCTGCCGCATTGGTGCTGTTCCACTTGCAGCAGCAGATGCCGATTGCTTTGGCTGTTTGAGAGTGCTGTGCTCCAATGGGTGATAGCGGCTCAGGTGGTAATATAAATTTGTCGTGTTACCAGTCTTTGTAGGGACGACGACCTTGCATAGTTTGCAGACCGCATTGCTCTGACTCGTGTCGGACGTAAAAAATCCAAAGTATTGCCAAACCAGAGACGTGACCTTTCCCTTTTTATCTACTATTTCCTCTCTTGCTGCCGCACTCATTGTTCCACGTGCACGCCGCTGTTGTTGAAGTTTCTATTTTGCCTTTCCCAGAATGCCTTGCGGTTCATGGTAAGATGTAATAGGTCGAGAAGCTTCTGCCTACATTCCCCAGAATGCCGCGCGCTTATGAGTCGGCTTTACTTCCGGTGTTTTCTTCCTGTTTTTCCTGACGGAGTTAAGTTAAACTATCGAACATTCTATCGACCCCATTCTCTATTGATATTGAACACATGTCTATCGCGATATATATCGTTATCGTTTTATTGCCCAGCCCTAAGTGAAGGTAACAAACTGCTCAGGACGGACTTCAGAAATTTAGAGGGTAATATATCCAGGCTACATGTGGAGGAGCTCAGACTCATGATTATCTTTTTGACAGTTTCAGTATCCACAGGTGCAAAGTGAGTTAGCTCAAAAAGCTTCTCTAGCTGTTGCATTGTTATACGTGCTGTGGAGGTGATAAGTGTTTTTGATTCCTTGTACTTTGTCATCGAAAAACTGCGAACTCATTACACCTAGATTTAGAGGAAAATACTAGGGGCAACTTTACAGGGGGGTTCGTTAATCTACCAACTGTTGAAAACATAACACGAAGATTGTTACTGCAACCTCCAATAATGTCAGAAAAATACATTTATCTTGTTCTACGTAGAACCCGGTTAAATTCACCCAACTCATCTTTAAAGATTTCATAATCGCCCTGGAAATTGGACTTTCGCCACTTCCGTTCGGCCCTCCGGCACTCTTGCTTCTGTGCCCTGACCGAGTCTGCCTTATGCCGTTTTTCCACAGTCCGAGTACGGTACGTTTTGACTCTACACGGCGCGCCATGGCCCAGTTCGCGTGCTTTTCCATCAAAAATAGTACCCCCTAGTATGTCCTCAGCGTTGTTAGACCACGTCATTTACGTGTGACGTGTAACTAGTACTGGTGCGGTGCATGGATTTATTATAATACCAGAGCAAGTGTTTAATAGAAAATTCAGCACAGCACGAGTAGTTTTTGAAAAAGCTTATGTCTTAAAAGAATGACTCAGACACTGTGAAGTCAATGGTGCTGACTGCTCTGTACAATCTGAATGGGACATACCTGTAGCAACAGCAGCCTGTATAGCAGAGGAGGAGGGCTGCATGTCCGAGGATACTGCTAGGCTAAAGCTAATGCTAGCGCTAGCTCGAGACTCTGCTCACTCACTAACCCTGGATTCCAAAGCTACTACTATACTACACTTAACACATCTATCACTGCCATCTGAGGAGGATCCGGGTTTAAACTCGTCATATGGCAACTCGAGCAGTAAAGGACCGAGGGAGAGACAGCGGCA